AATAGAGTAGAGAATAAGGAATAAGAGCAGAATAGAATAGAATAGAATAAGGAATAAGAATAGAGTAGAGAATAAGGAATAAGGAATAAGAATAGGAATAGGAGCTGGAAGGGACCTTGAGGTCTTCTAGTCCAGCCTCCTGCTCAAACTGGAGAATCTATACTATTTCGGATAAGTGGCATTCTAGTTAAGGAATATCTGTATGTGTCTTAATAACCCCAGGATATCCATCCACCACCCTGTCTGGCCTGTCACTGGTATCTTACATTTTCCTTACTTGTTAGTCTAAACCTAGTTATTGCAAACCACTGGTTTCAGCAGTCACCCGTAACACTGTAACACGCAAGCCGCCATCCTGAATTATTCGACTTCAGCTTAAAAAATCTTTGGAAGCGGATGGATAAAATCTCTTTTACAGCCGGCCCTCCCACTCTTGGGGGAAAAAAAACAACCACCTCACACATTCCCTCCTACACACCACTGCCTTTTCTACAATCACATGGACCAATCACCAGACATACACTAAAGGCTGTGTATCACAGCCCGCTTGTGCAGCTTTGCTTGAGAACACACACACACACACACACAGAGGCTGGCATTTCCCATCCCTGTTTCTCTAACAAAAAGGTTGACACAGGCGTGTTGCATTGACACACACACACACAAAATACTCCAGGACACAAATAATACACATAATTATTTGCACCCTGCTGGGCTTAAAGAAGAGAGGAGATGCCACCCTGTTCTACAGAGTCAGAGGGTTTTGTTAAAAAAAAAAAAAAAGACAAGTTTCTAGCCCTCAAGATTTCCGACGGGCGTTTCTCGTATTTGAGACCGTCTTCATAAACACCCAGCTGAAGATCTTGGATCTTGGCTGACAACAGATGACAAAGATCCAAGCCGACCAGAAGCTGTTTGACACAACATGCAGTAAAAAACAAGGGCATCTTTTCTTATTTATTCTGGAATCAAAGCATGGATTAAGGATGTCAGCGGTTGAGTTCTTCTTAAGCCATCGCTATGAGAATTGATTTCAGGCCCAGATTAAGTCTTCAACTTACAGCGGTTCATTTCGTGAGCGTTCAAAGTTACAACGGCACTGGGGAAAAAATGTGATTTATGACTGCTTTTCACAATGATGATCTCTGCAGGATTTCCAGGGTCCACATTCAGACAATTGGCCACCGACTGGTATTTATGACGGTTGCCTTGTTCCCGGATGTCATGCGATCCCCTTTTGTGACTTCCAAACAAGCCAAGTCAACTGGGAAGCCAGATTCACTGAACAACTGGGTTAACCAGCTTAACAACTGCCATGATTCACTTTACAACGGTGGCACCAAAGGTCGTAAAATGAGGCAAAATTCACTGAACAAATATTTCGCTTAGCAACGAAGATCTGGTGCTCAATTATGATCGAAGACGACCTGTTATTTCATAACTGCCCGACTTCTGAAGCCGCCTAAGATCACGGTGGCAAACAAATCTGAACTGACCCCAGGGAATAACTTTCAATATATATATTTATTTCCCTTCCAGGTATTTGAGGTCAGAGAAAGCCAACTGTAAACAGCAGGAATCCCAGGAGATGTGCAAAGATTGCTGGAACACTGTGCGCCCGAGAGGGGCTTGGATAAATAATTCTTCGGAGACAAGTTACTGTGCAACTGCTATATTAGCAGTTTGTTTATTTTTAGATGTTAATGAAACATGCTGCGCTTTAAGATCTAAAGCTAAAGAAACTGCAGGCTACATCTAGGGAAAGGTAGAATCCTTGACCTGGGAGGGACCTTGGAGGTCTTCTAGTCCAACCCCCTGCTCACAGCAGGAGTCCTTGGTGCTTTTATAGTCCTTATAGAAGGAGACCTTGTATCAGAGGTCTCCAAACTTGGCAACTTTAATGGATGTCAACTCCCAGAATTCCATGCAGGCTGGAGAACTCTGGGAGTTGAAGTCCATGTGTCTTAAAGTTGCAAGTCCCTTGTTTTAACTGCCCGGGATAGATTTTTGACCACGATTGAAATATTTCCTTGGGCAACATAACTTGTGTGTCATAATTTAGGATCAGAGATGTCCAATCTTGGTGACTTTAAGACATGTGGACTTCAACTCCCAGAATTCTGACACTGAACTGAAGAAGCTTCTTGGATGAGAAGCAAAACGTCTTCAAGGAAAAAAACAAAACAAAGGAAAGCCCAGTTGCCTTTTGAAAAAGCCCCTTTGGGACAACCATGACCTGGATGATGGAGAATTTCTATCGACATCCCTCTCTGATTTGCTATGAGAATGGAAATGTGGAACGCCTTCACGAAGAGAGGCCCTGTAGCTTTTATAATCATGTTTTCAAAATAAATCCAGAAGCTAAATCCGGGCCCTTTTTTTTAGTCCACAGTTGCCAAGTTTGGAGACCCCTGCCTTATATCATTGAATGGATGCAGCAGCCAGGGAGGACAGCTGGTATGAAAGAGGGATCCACAGAAGCAAGGGATAAGATACCACCTAATTTCCAGTCTACAACAGACTCAGCAGTTCCAAGAAGGATCCACGCCCATTTGCTGCTATTCAAGGGACCTTGAGGGCACAAATAAACCTCCAAGTGACCTCAAGGTCTCAGGGAGAGTGCTAATGACCAGATGATTGCAAAGAAATATGATCCTTCCAGTGATCCCTCGCCCCTTGTGTGTGTTGTTATCTAACAAACATAGATTTAATTTTTGTTGTTGTTGAATTAATTGTAAAACTGTACTTGCCGGTTGCAAAAGAAAAACGGCAAAACACACCCAAAGTATCAAAAAAGTTTTTTTTTAAAAAAAGGCAAATTAGGTTTTAGGAACAGAAATTCACCATCATGTTGGTTGCACAGTAATATTTTACAGTGTCCTTCTTCCACTACATTCCTGGGACACTTGGCAATAACAAAATAATAAAAAGGATAAGTCTGTAAAAAAGAACTATACTCTTAAAACCACAAGGTAATAAAAAAGCAATCTAATGCTTTTTAAATCAGAAAATTTAAAATGTGCATCTAAACCGTTGCAGGGGGTGAAATGAAATAGCACTCTAACTGCCCTTCTTTGCAAACCCTGTACCTTACACTCCAGATTAAAATTACTCTGATCTTTTCCAATATAAATGTGGCTATTTTTTTTCCTGTTACCATGGTTGGTGTGTGTTGGTGTGTGTGTGTGATCCTACTGCAAAAAAGATACCAAGAATACAAATTTGTTTTCCCAGAATTCCACATCCCCAATTCTTTGAATTCTGCAGCACCAACTACATTTTGCATCAGGACTTTCTGAGTTGAGTTGTGTAGACGACTTCAGGGAAGGATCACTAGAATGCCAGTGCCCAACACAGCATCTC